AAATATGTAAAAAAATTACATATTTTAATAATATGTGTATAATAATATGTGAAATAAGAGGGAATGTTTATATTTACAGCTAATGAAGGCTTCAGTATCTTATTTTACTGTAATATATTCTACGCGGCAATGAAACCAATATTAATTTATGGTTAGCAGGGATTTAATTAATAAAAAAATGACGGCATCCATGCTTAGAAAATGTATAGACTTATTTTTTAACGTGTAATATAGATATTATTTTGTTAAAAAAAGAAAATTAAAATTGTTTAAATGAAGTTATTTCAAGCTCTTGCAATCAACATCGTGTCGATCATTGTCTGTCTAATTTTAGACCAAATAATAAACACACACACACACGCACACACACGCACACGACACACGCACACACGCACACGCACACGCACACGCATACACATACACCCCCAACGTATGTTTAAATATTTTACATTACTTAAAGTAAAATATTATTATTACATTAAAGCAATATATTATTATTACATTAAATATCATTTTTAGTTAATTTCATATTAATATTTAAACATAAATATTAAAGTTCAGAATTTTCATTAATAAACGGCATATACATTAAAAAATTAAAACATAAGAAATTATTAGTAACAATAGTAATATCATTATAGACAACAAGATGGCAGCTACATCAGCTATTGTTCGATTCTTATTAAAAATTAATCATGCAGATTACAATTTAAAAAATTAATGTATCACATACCCGTATTGATCTAAGCCATAAAATATTTCAAAAGTATCTTATTAGAAATGGATGTTACCAGTATATGTATAAAAAAGTAGATTACATTTTTAATTAAAATAAAAAGTTAAATAATTTGCACGTAACGATTAAATTTTGCCATGAACTTGTTAACGTGCAATTATTAAAATATGTACAATGTAGTATATAAGAAATTGAGATTGTATGTCAGCGGAGCAAAGAAAATCAATAACACTTGCAGAGTTAAAAATCAATACTTAATAACAGATATGCGCTTATGCATAATAGAAGTTAAAAAACTCTGCTAAAAAATAATGCTTGCTGATTTTAATTAATTTGAAAAATGTTGACTCTGACTTTTACAATTTGAATTATCTTTTTTATGGAAATTATACAATATGGAATATTATACAATATTTGCAAATCACCAGATATAAAACTATAATTATTTTTATCGTAAAATTATTACGTAAAGGAACAAATCTATAATTTAAAAGTTATTAAATATATGAAAAATAGTTTTTTTAAACATTTCTAAATAAAATTATTACTTGCAGTTCACTGCGTTCTTTATTTTAAAATGTTTTTCGGATCTCGTTCTTAAGATTCTGTTACGTTTTCTTTACTTATGTTTGTAATAAATTATGTTTGATTTTAAGATGAAAGTTGTAAGTTAATGATTTACCATATTTGATTAAATTAACATTTATGATAAATTTATATATTCAATGATCTTTTTGAAAAAAAAAATACATAAAACAAAAATACAAAAAGTTACTGGACTGACAGGTAAAGCATTTACTGGCGCAACTTCAAAATGTATACAATAAATTACAAGATGAATATGAAAACGCTATTATGAAAAAGTATGGTATACTGGAAAATGTTATACGGCTGCACTTACAAGTAAGGATATTTTTAAAAGTTTGCATTTGATTATATCTCTTCTTGTTAATAAAGCCAAGGCTTCAAGAGAAGACAAATTAATCTTGATAAGTAATAATAATTTATTACATATGTACGATACATCGCAAGGTCTTCTAAGGTATGTATTGTTATACATACTGAAAGGAAAATAATGATTTGTGACAAAAGACATTTAAATCGAATATAAAGAGTAAAATTGCGAATTATTAACTAACAAGAAGCGGTAAAAACCAATTATAATTGAGTTAAAGAAATATAAAATTATAAATATAATAAATATGTTTGAAGTAATATTTTGAGATATTATAAAATATAAGTATATGAGAGTATATAATAAAGTTATATGAGTTACTTTCTAACATTCTTTAGTATTTGGCATTTACAATGTATTTACTCCTCTCTCTATTACCTCTGAATTTTTATTGACCTCATCTCGGTTGTTTTGCCGATAAATGCATCTCGAGGACATCGAATGCAATTCGAAACGGAATACTTTATCGATCAGGAAAGATAATTCTCTTTAATTAATGTTACATATAAACGCAGCATTTTGCATAGGATTGTTTGCAATATTAGGCATAGGACCAAGTTATTCATATATCTTCAATTTACATGTGAGGAATGTTTAAAATTTCCAGAACAATTATATTATTATTATAGAAATCTGTTTATCATTTCAAAGAATTGGTATATTTTGACAGTCTAAAAAAATGTTTATTCTTTAAAAACAAAAAAATATTATCGTATATTATTTTTAGTTATCATATTGAACGCGTAATGAAAATCAATATGCTGAAAAATATTAGTACGAAGAACAAGAAATTCATATTTGAAGGAATAATTTGTGCTATAGATAATTCATCAAAAAGCTATTAAAGTTAATAAATAAAAATTATACATATAAATCATATACGTATAATAATATTTATTTGAGTTTAAAGACTATCCGAGCTATTGGTTTCTAAATTTGAGATAATGCTGCTCTGTCTAATAGCAGATGGAGATCTCTTTGAGTACCAACCTCTTCCAAGTAAGTCTCGTTAAAATCTTTATTATTAAGAAATATTTAATATTTCACACTCTAGTTCTATAGTAAGGAAAAATGTACTTTTATATTAATATTTTTAATTAATCAAATAATATTTATAATTAATTCTGTGTGCAAAATTTTTCATATAATTCAGTCAGTAATTTCTAAAAGAATAATTTATTATATAAAGAATAATGGATAGAACGGAAAAATATGCCAAGAAAATTGATAACTTTCTCTGTACATATTTTCTTTAACTCTTAATAATAATAATTGTATTTTAATAACAATTGTAAATGTATAAATGTATAAAATATTGAAAATAACAGTCTTAACTGTAGAATAATTAAAGAGTATGTTTTTAAACGTTAATTAATATTATCACACAAATTTCTTGCATTTCCATATGTTTGATTTTTCTCATTATTTTATTTTATAGGTACAGTATTCAATGATATATGACTCCCATATACATTCAAAAAATAATACTTTTTCTATTACAAAGAGGTACCAAAGATTTCACTTTAAATCTCAAAGGACTGATTGTCGGATCGTTTGAATGTTTCGCTATGATAAGAAAATAATATAGACTTTTATGTTGGAATTTTACTCAAGGTAGTACAATGAATGTGTTGAATATATTTATTGCTGGTGAAGAACTTCGATGTCTTATTTTGTCTTATTATATATATTCGACGCAATAAAAAAGACTGAATCAAATAACATTATATATATATACATATATATATAT